TGCAGCTTTTGTCCCTGAATTGATGTGCAGCACACACTCTGCATGTGTGATTAATGTTCATTTGACTTCAGTGGAGCTGGTTTTCCTCCCTGTTTGTAGAGCCAAAGCTTTCCTGACTTGCTCCTTTGTGCTGAAGCTTGTGCCACCCATGCAGACACCAGTGTGCTGTGTTTAATCCTGCCAGGCTCACTCACAGCATTTAATCCCTTAGGCAGACAATATCATATTAGGTAATAAGTGGCTAATAAGGTCTGGCATGGAATTTTTGCAGTGTAGTACCTGTCTGACCTCTGTGTGTATGTAACATTGCCGTTCTCTGTGTGTGATCCCTCTCTCATCTCCCTCTCTCTCTCCTCCTCCATCTGTGTCAGATTGAGTCATTTACTGATTGGTGTTGCTGTGCAGTCTGACCATGAATTAGAAGTACAGAATGTCCTCTAGTCCTTTAATCTATCCAGATTTTGTAGCTGAGGGTGAAACTAGTTGTTGAATAAATAATCTTCATCGTTATCTGTGTGAAGTCATGACTGCACTTTGAGGAGGGTCTCAGGGGAAAAGCATTGTGATGGTGAAGTTCGTGTGTTTTATAAATACACACCATTCTGATTTTAAAGTTTGGTTTATGATGTGAGTTGTTAAACTTCCCTTGGGACCTGATGGCTCGGCAACGTGTAAATCGAGCTCAAATAGGTTCCCATTCCCTATTTTATGGTGGGAGGAGAACAGATTGGTTTGCACTGTGCTGTTGCCATGTGTCAGAGGACACAGTAATTCACTGGCATAAAGATATGGGATTTAGTCACTTGCTCCTTGCTGCTGACACCTCAGATTTGAGAGAAGTGAATTCAGAGGTAAAAAGGGGCTGGATTCACTTGCAAGAGATTTTCCACCTCTGCAGAGCATTGCACAAGCAGAGCTGGGCCTGGATCTGGCACGAGGAATCTCCCCAGTTGGACAAACAGTGGTGCTGGGTGGACTTTGAGCCCTCTGAGTGCACTCAGGGAAATGGTATTTCTAAAGCAAACACGTGCAGTGGAGCAGGCAGAGCAGAACTGGGGGCAGAACTCAGTGTTCTTCCCCATCTGACACAGCTTGGGTGCTCCTTGCCAGCCAGCACAGAGCTCTGTCAGCAAACATATTTATTCATGGGCTTTTATCCCTCAGAATCAATGCTGGTAGGTAATGCTGAGCCCACTTCCTCACCAGATATCACTCTGAGAACATGATTTTAGTATCTAACACATGAATATTGTTATCTCTGTGCTGGGGCTCAGTAGCATCATCCCAATCTGCAGCATCACAGGTTCAAAATTATCTGCTCTGCTTATTGCCAGTAATCACAGTTGTGGCTGTATTCTTTTTTTTTTTCTGAGGTTTTTATTTGTAAATTAGGCATTGGTAAAATTTTGGAGTATCTTAAATGTCAGCAGTTAATGTCTGGAACAACACCCTCCTTTTGTGCTTGGAGTGTTTGAGTGGGACAGATATTAGTTGTGGCTGTAATTGCTTGTTTGGGGCCCTTGGGAGGGTTTGGATTCAGGGTGGGTTGGAGTTAACTCCGTGATCTGCCCCGAGCACAGGCTGCAGGATTTCCCCACGGAGTGAGCAGGCTGAGGTTAGGTTATTTGATCACAGAAAACACAGTTCAAAGAAACCCTTTTCTTGTGGGCAATTCAGGTCTGTTTGTTCTGCTGTTGATTTTTTGTTTCAAGGGGCTGGTTAGAACTTCTCCTCCATTTTTTTTTCCTCTTACAACTTGAAAGCAACAACACCTTTTACCTTAGAGGCAGAGAAGTGGCCAGGAAATGATTGGGATTCAAAGTCAGAGAAAAG